GCTTTAACTTTTTCTTGGCTTAAAGCCTGCTTTCTAAAGGTACTGTATTCTTCTATTGAAGTTATTTTCCCTCCACTGTTTATTCAAAAATGCAATGTACTATGAAAGCACACTTTTAAATATGTCTTGTGTGTAATTTTATAGGACAATGTCTTTTAACAAGCCACACATTTTACCTATCCCTTTCCAAGTATAACCAGGCTTTAACTTTTTCTTGGCTTAAAGCCTGCTTTCTAAAGGTACTGTATTCTTCTATTGAAGTTATTTTCCCTCCACTGTTTATTCAAAAATGCAATGTACTATGAAAGCATTTATTTCTAAATAAAATCTGAGTGTTGGAAATATATCCCTAAACTAGCAGACAGAGTGACAGATGAATGGTGTTCCTTTTAATCCTAAGGGAACAACAACTGAAATACAGCATTCACAGTGTGATGCTGTTTGCATTCCTTTGCATGTCAGTTCAGATTTCTGATGGGAAGGCTTTTTCCCTGTGGGAGAGATATCACCATTATAAAACAAATGACGGCAAATGACTTTTTTTAGAAAGGAAAAGAAAGCTTCTACATTAAATTACATTTAAAACGGGTCTTTTTTTTGCAATTACTTTAGCTGAAAATAAACAAGAGTTCTGGTTATTAAAACGTGTTGCTTATTTTTATCAGCATATAGTAGTAATTTTGACACATTTTTATGTGAAAGATGTTAAGCAAACTTTATGCTAGTATTCTCAAAAGCAGCTAAGGGAATCCAGAACACAAGCCCCACAGACTTTCCAAGGGGCTTGTCCTCCTAATTCCTTTAGATGCTTTTGAAAATGCCCTGTATTTGAACAGTTAAGCTCTCAGAAGTAAGAAAACACCAACAGCATCCTCACTTCACATTATGATTCCATATACAATTTTTATAGCCAAATACACATATATAGCATTTTGTAAATGCTGTGGTTTACTCCGTGTATGTGTACAGCAGAATTCATAAGGACTACGGAGGTAAATTGTACTTACATACAATGTACTAAGATTGAAAAACAGATTCTTTTCACCGATCCAGGCCATTTCCCCATCGAGGAGGTGCAGAAGGGCCACATATTAACCATATCTATCCATCTGTGAATTCCCCTGGCAGGGGGGATATCTCCGCTGACATAAATCCAGCATAATATGCTCCTACGCCACCTCACCATTTGGTCAGACATAAGCGATGAGCCTCAAGAAGCATGACTCATTGGTTGCAATACTTATTGGTGGATGGCCTGTTGGGAACTGTTACCAGCTGACAGGTTAGTTCTTCTAACTCATGCTGGGGCTGAAGTTGTGCAGGGCAGTGAATCAGAACATTGTAGTTTATCTATACCTACCCCAAATAAAAGAGTACTTTCACTCTGTACTTCTTGACAGTAAAGTGTTCCTCTTCTTAACCTCAACAACTTACTACTACTTTTTTTAAGGGCCCATCCTCCACACATTAAGATCTTATTATTTAGAAGGTGGGAAATGGTGGCACCAATCACACATACATAGAAAAGAGAGAGAGAGAAAGAGAGATATTGCCTCAAATCGAAGACCACAGCAGCCTGTGTTATGAGAGGTAAGAGAGTGGCCATTCTAATATTTATGTAAATAGGCCACCTGAAAAGCTCAGAGTACCAGCGCAGGCACATGCACACACCCTGGTCAGTAAATGAAAAGACAAACACAAAGAGCTTACACCAACCAGCACCTGACGGTCAGCTCACTCCATGTCATACAGAAATTCCAATTCTAACCCATTCTCTCGTCTCAAGTGCAACGTTTAAGACACAAAGGAAAGCAACATTTTAGTGTTTCATTGTGCTTGTGGATTCTGTGGTACACAAGAGGCAGCAGAAGGAAAATTCATTCACAGTGTGATGCCAATTGTGATGATTTTACTGCATTTTAAAGGCAAGAGGCCGAAATCCATGAGCTACATGGTTTCAGACTACCACGGCTGTGGTTCACTCTGGCAAAACTATAACTTTTAAAACAGAAACAGGTAATTTCTATGCCCCTGACAGTTCCACTTTCTACTGTCTACAGTCAAGTAATGTCTATGAGGTGGAATAGTTTTTCCAGCTACAGCTTTGGGAAGCATAAATATGGGTTGTTTACCATTAGCTTGGGACACTGAAGTTCTTAATGATTCAGTGATACAGAATCATTAATTCACTTTTCTTGACAAGGCAGCTGACTGCTGCAACTATTTATTGCTGGTTTTGATACTTTCTTATATTGATTACACTGACTGTAATATGTAATACAATTGCAATGTAATCTCATACCTAACTGAACTGAGAATGATTCTTCTACTCTCAATTACTTTTACAGCCTTAAATTTTAAAATTATTCAGCTTTCACTTGTACCCTTTTGATTCCTACCATTGCTAGAGCTAATATGCTTGTGTCAGATTAACATTATAGAAAAATGCCTCTAGATACAAGATAATCTGATTATACAATGCCCCTGTTAGGTAAATCTACAGTTAGCTGGCATTTTTCAATCAAAGCTGTAAAGCTACTAGTTCTACTTCATTAGTGCTTGAAAGTGGGTTGGAGCTTTTCTTAATCTTCAGTGATTGAAATATGTGATGGACATCATAGAAGAGGAAGACAATTCATGTAATTTCAGTTATAATTGTATCAAATGTTTTTTAAAGAAATAACGCATAGAGAATATTTGCTTTTGGTATCATAAGTGAAACCATACCACTAAACAATCATATCCTGTTTAGCCCATAATGACATCAGAAATATATGTTTATCATTTGCTCTGGACAACTTAGCATGTTTTTGGCCTTGGGCAAACTCGAACTGAAACCATTTGCAGTTGTCCAAACCAAGATAACCACACATTTCTGAGGTAATTGATACCTAAAAGGAACACTACTTTTAGATTACAGTTCACGATTTAAGTACACTAATTCCTTAAAGAAGGTTGTTAAAGTTTTTAAAGTATGTATGTCTATTGGACTTCCTCCAAAACATAGCATGGGTAAATCATAATCTATTGCACACAGAAAATGTGATACAGTAGACTACTTAACATACTAACAGCTCTTCTTTTAAGGAATGGAATACATTCCCTGTAATTGCTTATTTCTCCGGATCCATTCCAAAAATTAAAAAAAAAACCCCAAAACTGTGCACGGGGGCAAAATTTTGAGCTCTTTGAAGTAATATGCATCACAAACTAGATTTCTGGTTCTGTTACAAACTGTATGGGATATTTAAACACTGTCTAAGCACGTCATGGTGTTTCAACTAGTGTAAATGTACTGTGAAAGCTATAGGGCATGGCTTCTTTCTTACACTGGTGCAAATCATGAATAAATTAATTGAAACTAATGTAAGAAGATCACTGTAAAACCAGCACGAGAGGAGAATCAATTCTATTATGAATTTATTTGCATCCCCTACATTAGGGGTGAGAAATCTAAGGCCCAGAGGCCAGACACGGCCCCTGGGTTGCCTGGATCTAGCCCCCAAGGCTTAGGACCTCCCCCTGCATTAGAGAGCTCACACTGGCAATCCAGCTCCTTCCCCCAGCCCGCTGCCTCCCCGCAGCTCCCAGCCCCTGACTGATTTTCCTGTGAGTCATTGATCCCCGACCCAAAAAAGGTTTCCCACCCCTGCCCTACATGAACCCAACTTTTAGGAAGGGGGACAAAGGTCCTGAAGCTTAGCCTATGGCATAGGAGCAGGTTTCTCAGCAGGCTGATAGAAAAGAATTATCTAGAAAGGGCTCCTCCAGAAGGGTCTTCCCCTTTTTTCCAAAACAACTCCTATGGTTTACGTGATTAATATGTAGGCTGTACTGGCACAAGTAAATGGAAAGCAATGAACACTTGTGGGCCAGAGCACAGAACAGTTGCACTCTCATTAATATAGTATTAATGAGTATACTACTTGTATACTGAGCCAAAAGCATGCATGGTGCTGTACAGAACCAATCAAAGGAAATGTCCTTCCAGAGCAGCAGAAAGGGAAGATCCTAAATGACTAGTCTGAACGACCATTCCAGCTACAGAGGCTGGAAACTACTGCTCTATGGCAAGGTTTCTCCACCTGGGAGTCACAACCACCCAGCCCTCCCCACATGATTAAATGGGAGGGAGATACTAGCAAGATTCTGCTTGATTAGGATGGGAGATCCCAGTACAGAAAAGAGAGTACAATGCAGGAAAAACTGAAAACTACTACTCTAGCACAGGATGAAAGTCAAGTTATTTCTTATCCATGCTTCTTAGGAAATCCACCAGCAGACAGAAAAACCAAGACAACATAGTTTACAAATACGGCTAAATATGTCAGGCAGATCACCATAAAGAACCAAACCAAAAGGAAAAAAATCCCCCAAACTCTCTATCCTACCTACCTTTCTATCCCTGAAAACTTATACATTCTTTTTTAAAAAAAACCCACTTTACAGATATTATAAATTCCAGAAAGAACTCTGAAGTAATAATGAAGACAGATTTTAAATGTATACATAGGAAAGGAAGATGATCTTAAAGAAAGAATGGTAAGCTGAAGATGGTGTGGGAGCAGACCACTTTCCACCTGATTTCTAAGCCATGGAAAAATGGAAGATGATTATATATTCTTTAAAAACATTTTCCCATATAAAAGGAGTAATCAGAAGGACTTCTTCACAACTGGCACTATCCAAACCACAATATTTTGAAATAGAATTTGCTGTATATCCAAGGGAAACAGAGCTAAGATGGACTAAAAGATCTATCACTACATTTAGTCTACTCCCTCCCTGCCTCCCAGCATGCATACATAGGTAATCAAGAAACATTCACTTCTGGGAAGCAATATGGAAATAAGATTCTGTTTATGCCATCTACCTAGAAAAGCATCAAAGGCTTAAAAAGGGTAAGAAAAATATATTAGAATAGCATGATGTATGAATCTATTACGTGTTTCCTTTCTATTCTGGGATTGGGTCCGAGTGGAGAAAAAGACAAAAATTACCTCCATCCGCTCTTGTTTAACATCATCAATCTCATCATCTTCAAACATGGCCAAGAGCTCCCCGGTCTGATCAATAGAGTTCAGAAAGTCTTGAGCCAGCTTCTGACGTTTGTTGACACTGCTATTGCTGAATTTGTCTGCAGAAAGGCAAACAAAATTACAAATCAGTATGCCATTTTGGTTAAGAACATACATAAGAACATAAGAATGGCTGTACTGGGTCAGACCAAAGGTCCATCTAGCCCAGTAGCCTGTCTGCCGACAGTGGCCAACACCAGGTGCTCCAGAGAGGGTGGACGGAAGACAATGATCAAGCGATTTGTCTCCTGCCATCTCTCTCCAGCCCCTGACAAACAGAGGCCAGGGACACCATTTCTATCCTCTGGCTAATAGCCTTTTATGGACCTAACCTCCATGAAATTATCTAGCTTCTCTTTAAACTCTGTTATAGTCCTAGCCTTCACAGCCTCCTCTGGCAAGGAGTTCCACAGGTTGACTACACGCTGTGTGAAGAAGAACTTTCTTTTATTAGTTTTAAACCTGATACCCATTAATTTCATTTGGTGTCTTCTTGACATCTTTGGTTCATCTTTACATCTGCAAAACATACTTTAATAACATTAAACATGAGGACTTGTTTGAATAATACAGTGCTTCCCATTCTGATGACAAATATATTTTAAATGTTCTGTTAGTCTCTAATTTTAAACCCTCCTTTGGGAAAAAAAAGAGAGAGAGAGAGATCTGGGCTGAAAAGCAAGGCAAAAAAGAGGAGAAAATTAGCTTCATTTTATTTTCTTTCACTTTCAGCTTCAAACAAGATTCCAAGCTGTAACTTCAGAGAATATTTCTGCTCATGGGAGGTGCTGTACCTGTACACAGTTATGAGGGTCTGCTTTTACTTATATCTTCACATCATCCTTATCTTCTTCTGACCCCTAATGTATGTCTGAGCTTGGAAAATCAGGCAGTAACATCCACTGATGTTACTGCAACATTAATACTAATATCACAGGTTTTCACAACCAGAATGCACTATGAAAGTGAACTGTATCAAATAGGGCACTACCAGCTAATCATCTGAGCCCAAATTGCCCTAGGTCCAATAATAACTGATATGCTCCCTGCCTTGCTACTCATAAGCAAACACTCTTAAGCCGTTTCTCGTTACTAGATGATCTGCACGGAATCTTCCCGGGAAGGTGATGCCTCTCTCATGTGCATGCATATACTCAGCCAATGTAACGTGGCGGAGAAAATTCCTTCCCAAACCTATATATGACTATCCCTCAATCTTAAAGGCTTTTCTGTTCTAAAAGCATTCATCAAACAAACCTCAAAATGCAACTGTGCTGCTAACACAAGAGATAAAATGCATCACCCTCAGCCACACTCCAGAAGACCCTGGGTAAAGAGTTAACTAAACTGTTGGCATTAGAGTAGGAGTGGCTCCACAGATAGTCTTTTTTATCCTACTGTCAACTGCTGAAATAGTTAGCCACACAACCTGTTTACCAAAAGGACAATCTCTTCCCAATAAAGAAAAACAAACGAGAAAAAGGGGAAGGAAGATGACAAGCCAGTTGCTAAGTAGTCCATGAGGAATTCCTGGCACAGGATGACCTATCTCTATGAAGGCTGGGAACATCATTTTGCTATAAATAATGAAAATTCACCAAGTACAGAAGACCACAAAAATGAGGATCGCATTTTCAAATGGGGCTTCCATAGTTCTATCGGGAAAATGTGCACATACTCTGTGGGTGTGTATATATATAACAGTGTGCTTAAAATTCATGGCTGCAACTGCAAAGCCCCATTTGAAAAATAAACCCTTAATTTTCAGAGGAAATTTATTTTTAGGTGGCATTTTCAAAAGCTCCCAATGTACAGAAGATTGATATATGAAAATTGTAACTCACTACTTCATTCAAATCAATTCAGCTCAATTTAGTGAGACTTTATTGGCATGAAAAGCTACATAAGTGTGGCCAAAGTGTAAAACAGAAAGACTCCCTTCCTCAACTTTCTATTAGAAGTAAGAAAGATTTACCTCAAATAGGGTCTAGCTTTACTATTTGTAAATTAGAGACTAGCTCTTCAACTAGTGTAAATCACCATAGTTTCCCTGACTTCAGTGGAGTTAAATGGATATTTACTAACTGAGGATTTGGCCCACGATAAAACCAAAATCTACTCAGATTAAAAATTACGCACATTTGTTATAAATTCCGTGACTTGGTTATGAAATGGAGAAGGAAGAGTGTTTCCAATTCTTTAAACTATACATTGGTTCCTTAACACTTCAAACAACACAGGAAGAAAGTCCTGGTCATATATCAGTATTAAGTGACTTTAGATTATGATTGCTTCATAAAATATGTCAAACCCCTTGATAATAAATTAACAAATGTCCATTCAAATGAATGTCAAATCCATGCAACCTCCCCTCCCCCGCACACTGGAGCTGCCACATTTAAATTACACACGCTGAAATCAATTAGCCTTTTAATCAGCACCAGTTTTTTAGTTCAGCACAGTTCTGACATTAAACAGCCCCACTTATCATGTGGATGGTGAATGGAAATATTGAACTTTTATGAAGTAATCTGAATGGAAAAGCACCAGGTTAAATAGACTTGCCAACTAAACTAATATTTTGAGTGAAAACTAGTTAGATGGCTATATATTTTTGTTGGGATACACAGTGCACAATTTGATTATTTCTTTACAAAAGTATCTTAAAAGATTTTCTACCTTCAATTAGATCATCTTCTTCAATGCCTTTGACAATTTTAGATTTGTAGTCTCGGAAGAACATATATTTGAGCAGCCTTCTAAGTTTTTTCTATGGGAGGGAAAAATACATTGACAATTATTAAAATGTATACAAAAAATTGCTTTACAGAATAGGTATCATTATGGAACACACACTGTGTGTGTGTAGCAAGAGACAGAAAGTATATTATTCCATGTAATACATAAAATTAACTAAATATATCCAGATTCTTCAATTTTGCAGCAGCCCAATGCATAGGAAATCCCACTGACTGTAAAAAATCATAAATGTGAGCAGCTGTTAATTTGGGCCCTCTATGCATATATTCTAGTGGTAAAAATTCTATTGACTCTGGCCTAAATTTTCAAAAGTGACAAGTGATTTTTGGTGCCAAACCACGAAGGGGTCTAATTTTCAGAAGACTAATGCTCAATAGTTTCTGAAAATCAGGTCTACTTCATGTATCTCAAGTTGGGCACCCAAAATCATAATTTTCTTGTGAAAAATTTAGGCCTATAAACACACAGTTCCAGGAGCTCCTAATGAACATTAACCAATTTCCTCAAACACCTTCTTGGTGGTTTCTACTGTGTGCATGTCATATCCTATTATTAGAGAGGAATAATTTCAAATGATATGCCCAAAAAGCCCATTTTTCAAAATGAATGTATGTTTTAACAAAATTAGAAAATACAAACAATAGATGTTTCTCAGCTTTTCAGATTTCTTTGGTTTATTGTTTTTCCTTTACCTCTCTTTTCTATCCTTTCCCTATTTACTGACAAAAGGAAAAAAAGGGTGGGGGCTAAAAAAGGAGAAAGTGGGGAAGAGAAAAAGAAGAGGTATAAAGAAAATGGGGGAAAAAAGGAAACACATACTTTGAAAAAACTCAAAGAAAAGTTAGAATACAGGGCATCTTCCTCTATAAGTCACATTCATTCTGCATTAAAGTCGTTGAGGCTTGTAGTAACTGATGCGTTATAAGCCCTCCCATTCCTAGGGCTGCCAGATGGTTTAACCAAAAATACCGAAAACACTCTCTACCTCCCCCCCCCCCCCCCCCCCAAAAAAATGCACCAGGGAAAAAATTCTGTTGAGAAAAGAAAGGGGGAGACCAAAAGACCCCAAGAGTTTTAAGCAAAAAAAAATTAAAAAATTAAAAAATTTAAAAAACAGCATGGCCCCTTTAAGAAATGCTTTTGAGGTTTTTTTGGCCCTAAAAAGCTGCCGGCAGCCGTCCGTCATCTTGTCTTCCTGCTCCGGGCCAAACCAGGTAAGCACCTGGTATTTTCACCTCCTGGGAAAATAGGTGTCCGGTATTTTCTGAATTTTTTTTTACCAGACAGGAGGCAAAAATACCGGACTGTCCGGGTCAATACCGGACACCTGGCAACCTTACCCATTCCCCATTCTTAAGTTGCACAAACCTTTCCCCCCACCACCAATTTGTACAAGTAGATGTCAGCTGCAGGAAAAAAAATCCCCGGTTTAAGTTGTTTCACTATGGGTACGTCTAAACTACATGGCTCCGTCGACGGAGCCATGTAGTTTAGACGTACCCATAGTGAAACAACTTAAACCGGGGATTTTTTTTCCTGCAGCTGACATCTACTTGTACAAATTGGTGGTGGGGGGAAAGGTTTGTGCAACTTAAGAATGGGGAATGGGTAAGGTTGCCAGGTGTCCGGTATTGACCCGGACAGTCCGGTATTTTTGCCTCCTGTCTGGTAAAAAAAAATTCAGAAAATACCGGACACCTATTTTCCCAGGAGGTGAAAATACCAGGTGCTTACCTGGTTTGGCCCGGAGCAGGAAGACAAGATGACGGACGGCTGCCGGCAGCCTTTTAGGGCCAAAAAAACCTCAAAAGCATTTCTTAAAGGGGCCATGCTGTTTTTTAAATTTTTTAATTTTTTAATTTTTTTTTGCTTAAAACTCTTGGGGTCTTTTGGTCTCCCCCTTTCTTTTCTCAACAGAATTTTTTCCCTGGTGTATTTTTGCGGGGGGGGGGGGGGGGGGGGAGTGATGGCCTTTACGTGAAAATTTGATTGTTTTGTAAATCTGGGGAATGAAAATAATTGCAATGTTTAATCAAAGATCTTGCATTTATTGACTAGAGCACTTATTCATAGATTCCAAGGCCAGAAGGGAACATTGTGATCATCTAGTCTGACCTTCTCTATAGCACAAGTCTTCGGTTACCAACCATCCCCCGTTTCCCCGGGAGTCTCCTGGAATCTGGCTATATTTCCTGGAGGCCTGAGAAGCCAAACTGGGAGGTTTTAGGGTAATAAAAACTGGTGGAGCAATGGGGCAAGGCAGAGTATCCTGCATTCCCTAGGGGGTGGAGGCTCAGGATAGGGTTGCCAGGTGTCTGGTTGAAAAGGAACCCTGGCAACTCTGGTCACCATGGCTCACTGGGCTATTAAAAGTCCAACTGGTGACGGGGGATGAGGAGAGGGCCTGCAGCAGCTCTCTCTAAGGTGCTTGGAGGCAATGCAAGCCCCAGCGAGCAGGGGGCAGATCCCAGCAGAGGGGCTGGAAAAGGCAGCCAGCTGGGACCAGCAGGATTAATCCAGCCAGCAGCCACCCTGGTGGCCAGGGGCTCCCTGTGGAACAGGTATTGTGGCCTTTAAGGAAGTCATGTCATCCCCCTCCCTGCCAGGCCTGCTGCTCACCAGCCAACAGGAAAAGAAAGAGGAGCCAGGCCCAGGTCCTATCTGGCTGCAAGCAGCTGGTGGCAGGAAGGGGGCAGGGTGCACATGGCACTGTAGCCCACCCCCTTCGGGCTCATCTCAGAACCATACAACCATCAGGTAAGGAGCTGTGAGCTTGTCAGTCTCCTCCCGGATGAATGGACTATGCAGAATCATGGGGCTAAGGCTGGGCTGCTCTCCCCAGGAACAGGTCCATGCATAGTTGGGCAGAAGCTGGGCTGGGGGAGTATGAAGGAGATGGTCTGAGGTTCACTGCAAACAGAGGGGAATGGAGCTGGAGCTCCTTGGAAATGCTGTGAATTGGGCGACAGTGGGGGCCCCAGTGAGCCAGGGCAGCAGAGTTTACATTTGCCCATGGAATCTTAATTTTCAGCTTGGAATGTTTGCATTGCATCTTTAATTTCATGGCCACAAACTATTTCTTCCACAGAACCCCTGCGTCATTTAGTGCTCAGGATGGACAAAGCAGCTACTCAATATTTTATTTTCTCCTCATTGTTCAGTTTCCATACTTTTGAGTGCTTGACTTTGCAACCTTAACAATGTTCCTTGAACGTACGTTTTGCTTGTAACTTTCTACTTTCTTAAAAAGCAAACTAATAAAAATGGAATATCCATTCTGTGGCATTATATTGCCACCTCATGGGTCATCAGAAAGGTTGGAGTCTGTAGATCCACCACACAGACCTCTGCCCTTTAGACAAGGTACTATGTGACAGCAGTAGCAATTAGCACCCCTCTACTAGAGGGGAATGAAATTTTTTTTGTCAGTGAATTTCATAGATATTTGCTGAAAGTAGATGAATGGTGGGAATCTTGGGTTCCATTTCAGACTCTGGAGGAGAACCTATTTTACCATTTCTTTGCAAAGCTGTCCCTCCAACTTTTGCTCCCAGTCTTAGTCTACTTGCCTAGCCATCCAGTTCCTTCCCACCCCAACACCTCCTTGTCTTCAGACTCCTTGATCAGTGAGTTTCCGTTCCCCCATACTGGCTGAAACTTTGATGTCTTTCTTCCTTCCCTCCATCTCCAGGTGACCCCTTTCTTAAGTTACTCCCTTTGATGTCTTGTTCCCCCTTATTCATATGAGCTCCTCCTTGCACCTAGTTTTTTGTCCCAGTGCCTTTGGCTAGCCAATCCCAGCAGTCCTTCTGCATCCTAACTCCTTATCAGATCTCTTTCTTCTCCCCCACACCATCTCCATTACACTGTTTCCCATTTTCTGTCTTCTTGTCCAGCCAGTCTTTATCCCTTGCTCCCAATACATGTCTCCTTGTCCAGTCAGACCCACTTCCCCCAAAATCTATTTCCAGTCTCAGTCATGGGTTCCCCCGAACTCCTTGTTCCAATTTATTCTCCCCCATGGCAGCTTTGTCTTCTGTCCTCTCTGCATTTATACTGGACAGCTTCTTCCTTCAAGCTAACAAGGGGACACTGAAAGCACAGAGACAGGTTTCCTAGTCTTGGGCCATGTCTTCATTAAATAGAAGATCAATATTGCCACAATCAATCTTCTGGAATTTGATTTAGCAAGTCTAGTTAATTAGAAGGTGCCCTGGTCAGTTGCCAGTACTCTTCCTTCTGTGAGGAGGAAGGGAAGTTGACAGCAGCATTTACTTCCATCAACTTCCCACTGTGAGGATGGCAGGGAAATGCAAAACAAGGTACATCAACTTCAGCTAAATAATTAAGGTAGCTTGATTTGCGTATCTTGATTTGACATTCCCTTGTAGAGTAGACCGGGCCTCAGTTCTTGTAGCCTACCCAACATGTCCTGCATCAGCCCAGAGCTGACACAGTATGGAAAATCATGCTCAGTCACATCAGCTGGAGCATGACCATTATAAATGTAGTCCTTGGCATTGTTATCTGTTAACCTCTAGCAAGTCTCTACTGCACATGTGCAAACTGATTTTTCATAGGTTCATAACTTGACCTAATTTGGGTGCTTTTTCATGGGGATGGCAAAAACCATATTCCTGACATGTCTGTCAAATTTCACATTCATATTTCTCAGCATGAAGGGACTAGATCGTCTCAAAGCAAAAGTGGCCAAAACAGTGTATTTGTCCCTTGCTTAGTTCTTAGAAGTGTCAAAAACATTTTAGTCGCAATTTTCCAAAAATTTCAGCCTGAGGCAGACAAGAAAATTTTCCATCCAAATAGTTAAAGTTCAGAAATGTTATAAGCAACTGAAAATAAAGTCTTATAAAAGGCCACCTTAGGAACAGACGATGCTAGTAGCCCCTGATATAATAAAGAAACAATGGTCCCTGTTCCAAAAAGCTTATTATCTAAGTAGACAAGACAATGAGACACAACTGTGAAGAAAGAGGGGTTGTATATCTTGTTAATTCCTGGCCTTAAAATACTTTAGAATAATGTTGAATTGGCTAGAAGTCTATTAGATAGACTAGTTTATTTTAATAAAATATTATGTTCTTATTTTGAGGAAATTGAGGGTAAGAGGAAGGAAGTGAAGGTCAGTAGTGGAAGATTAATCAAGAGAAGAATTTGAAGGAGAAATGGCAAACAGGAACAGAGAAGGCATTTCATGTTTGGTGACAGTGCAAACAATTGTTGGTTGTGGAAGATGGCTGTCAATTAATAGACATTTTAAATGTCATGTAAAAGGAGATCAGAGGCCTGCAGAAGGATTGAAATTAGAAGGAACCATTCATAATAATGAAAGTAGAAGATGATTTTAGCTGCAATATGCAGGATTAACCAGAGCATACAGTTTGAAGGTGACAGTACTTAAAATGAGAGAGGAATAGGAAATTAACCAGGGTTTTAGAAGCTTCTTTGGGAGGGCAGGAGAGGGAAGAGAGATGGTTTGGGGAAATATAAAAATAGACATGATTTACCGACATCCTACATGCAGAGATGAGAAAGGACAGTGTGTGCCCAGTGTCACACCAGGATCCAGAGTTCAGTTAGTAGAAGCATGTTAGAATGATTGACAGTGATACAAATGGAGGGGAGGAAGGGGGAGATATAGGCTGAGGCTCATCATAGTGTTAATTATTATTGGAGAAGAAAACAACTCACTAGATCAAGTTTCCATCACTCTCCTAGGGCAGGTGAAAACAATCAAATGAAAAATCTACTGATATGTTGAAATTATTCTAGGTAATAAAACTAAACTAATAATGAAATTATTCTTATTATAAATTGCTATTCATAAGGATGCCTCCCCTGGTTTAAACTAAGTAAATGCATTAAACTAACAAATGCATTGTCTAACTTACAATTTATAACAAAAACTGACTAGCTTGTTACTGTACCTTATCTTTGCGCATCAAAAACAGAAGATCTTCAGCAGAGATAACTCGAGCTCCTCTTAGCTGAGAAACTTCAGCTGCTTGCTGCAACTAATAAAAACAAAGAAATGTTAAACTACTGCTTCTCTAACATAGGTTGTATTTACTATGTTTCAAAATAAGTTCAGATAAATACACTGTGGTGACATGCTGGAAAATATATATCATCTTAAAAATATAGGCTGGGACTTTCAAAAGTGCCTAAGGGAGTCAGTCATCCAACTCCCATTAGCCAAAATTCCAGCCATAAATTATATAAAGACAGAAAAACTTCTGGCATATCTCAGTAATCATAATGCTGCATTTAAAAGTAAAACCTCTTGTTTCTCAGCATACACCATTGTAATTTCTACCTTGTTTATTTTCTCTAATTCATTTGCTAGTGCACTGTAAAAAACAGACATGAGACCTCTAATGCAAAAAAGTAAAAAGCAAAGCTCTTTGTATAAATGGGCCAGACCAGCTAGCTGATCCTGCTGAGAATCTCTGAGCAATAGCAAATATTAATCTTATAAATATACATAAAGTCATTTTAGGGGAACGTGCTTCACTTCCAACCATACCAGTATTATCCATAACTTAGAAACCTTTTACACTCAGACTTAAAGGACACAAGAAAGAAATTTCATAGACTTATATCATGGCTGCCAACAGAGTGCAAAGGGAAAGAACTGCCTTCATCTACAGTGTCATCACTGTTGCCTAAAAGTTGTGCCTTTACAGATCAGCAAGACTTCCAAGTCCATGAGTCTTCTGTCCATGGATCATAGATCTCCTGAGAAAGCCTTTAACATATAATAATAATTAAAAAAACCCTTTTCATGAACGGCAGAGGGAGTGGCTTCAAGAAATCTGGGGTGAGTCCACTTTCAAGTCCCAAAGTAATCCACTTTAAAGACAATATAACACCAGTTGGCACTAGGCCTATGGCAAACTTATAAAGACCAAGTTGTCGGGCTAATAAGGACTAATCCAAAACTCAATAAAGTCACTGGATTCCTTCCCCTGAATCTAATGGATTTTGAATCAGGATGATGGTCACTTTGAATACCAGGTGGGGAGACCTAGAGTTCCAAGGTTTGGGAACATTTTCTTCCAGTTAGGAGGATTTCATTATATGATGTTGGCTTTCATAATTGTCTCTGTCAACTGGTAGGAGGAATACAATTGCATTAAAACTCATGTATACACCTGCAATATTATACAAAAGTATAAATCTCATTTCTTGTCATGCAAAAATGCCTTCATACTCCACTTTCAGAAATACATTAATGCACCTGAAAATAATTTGAAGAAATTCTATCCTTCATACTCATGCTAGCAATGGTTTCACTCAGCATCACTGGCTGAATAAGTATATTATTAATCTGAGCTCCCATGCTGCTATGTCTTGAAATAGACCTATTCAGAAGTTTAAAAGATCAACAAAAACAGTAGCTGTTTCTAATATCCAAAGGAGGGGAAAAAAAAGATTTTCATTTTGGCAAGTGTTCAGTGGGCAAAGGATTCAGTCCATAAATCATAATACTGGACTGCATTAATTTTTTTCCACACTAATCACATGCACACAAAACGTTAACTGTATCTGGTATATACAACACAAAACATACTGCATGAAAAGCTTCAGATTTTTCCTTGAAATGCTCACTTGGGCCTTTACAGCTACAGAGACCAGAGAGTTTTCAGGAATTCAGAAGTCACAGTAACATAATCTTACTTGAAACTGAACTGGAAAATGTAAGAATGTGAAAAATGATAGTTGTATTTTTTTGGCAAAGGCAAAACTGCTTCTTATTCTGATTAGTCTGAGGGCACACAAGGTACTTATATTTCCAGCATAAAATATAAAGAGGCAGGGTAAAAATATAAAAAGAATGGGTTGCATTTATCCCTGGTGTAACTCAATTCAAATCAATAGAGTTATCCTATGGGTGAATTTGGGCCAATACATTTATAAGTGTTTCAAAAACTGACCTTGGCATGGGCAATAATGCAACACAGCTTTTTCAAATATCATATAAAGCTGTAGAACTATTGAAACTGAAAAGATATCCTAGCGCAACTCTTTTCTGTGCAGAAAATACCATTGTTTAAGATACTTGCATTATCCTTACAACATTCTTCTAATCCCCCAAAAATTACATTTTAATTTTTGTCAAGTGCAAACAAAGCTTATTTTAAATTATAATGAAGGTGTGATCATGATACAAACAAATAAGGTGATGGCTTAAGTTTCTTTTACAACAAAATAATGGTATAAGCTAAGCACAAGGAGACTCAAGGAGTTCCTGAAATACTGTACAGGCAGTCCCCGACTTACGCGGATCTGACTTATGTCAGATCCGCACATACGAACGGGGCTTTCTCGCCCCGGAGCTCACAGGCAGCGGTCAGCCACCTCGACCTCTGGGGCGAGAAAAGCTGCTCCCGGTGCCCTTGGTCTGCTGGGGACTGTCTCCAGCAGACCAGGGGCACCGGGAGCAAAGCGGTCCCGCGCCAGGGCAAAGCCTCAGAGGCGAGGCACCCCCCCGCTGCCGCTTTGCTCCCTATGTCCCTGGTCTGCTGGGGGGGGCGCAGCTAGTGTGCCCCCCCCAGCAGACCAGGGTTTTGTTGTGGACCCTGGGGCAGAGCAGCTGGGGCGCTGCTGGTTGGTCCCGCAGCGCCGCTCTGGGCACTACTGGACCAACCCTGCAGCACCCCGGCTGCTCTGCCCCAGGCGTC